CGAGAGAACTACTGTGATTGTGCCCTGGTTCATCTGGATGAGCACCTCAGTAGAGAAACCCGAAAACTGACTGTCATGATAAAGCGTGAGACTGGTCAACCACTCAAGGACTCAGCGGAATCTTCGTGATTCCTACGCATTAACGAAGGACCGGCTTCCCGGTCACATATGTACGTGCACCGTATTTGGATAAGCGCGGAAGTACCAGGGGCTATATAGTAGCCCCACTGTCAAACTCCTATGGCTAAGTGAAAGTGTTAAAGCTATATAGTCCGATTGCCTTGTTCGCCGCGCCATCACCTCCTTAATGGACCAAGACGTTGGATCAAGTGTGAATACGTGCTTTTTCGAACACCCCCGCATTATATGCGTGGGGGCTGAAGCCGATGAATGCAAACTTTCAGGTTATATACATACATAAACAGCCGCACAGGAGGCATCATAATACTTTCAGGCAAAAGTATAAACATAGCCTTTATAATTCAAATAGCATTGTTTTACAATTGGGATACATGTCACTCGAACATGATACTCTTCAAGCACTGAGCCTATGTTAAACGAGCGCCTTCTAGGACTTCTTCAAAATAGTGCTCGGCTGAGACCTGGCCTACGGTCGGACCTCGGGTTGCAATAGCGGTGTCATCCATCTCTGCCCAGTAGGTCTTAACACGGGCAAGGGCCATCCGCGCACCCTCTATGCACGCCGACCTCTTTACAGCGTCGATATGCGGCACAACACCAAGGAATCGTTGCACTAAACCAAAGTAACTATTCGGCCTTGGTCCTTCCGGCCAAAGATGATCCACGACAGACCTCATGGCAAGCCCGGACAACCTATGGAGCTCAGCCCACTCGGCCATTTGCTCATTTAACAGCAGCGGACGCCTTGGAGTACTGAACTGCGACCAGAACAACTTTTCCACTTTGTGACCTTTTTTATATTTGAAAAACTCAGTCGCATCAACAACACTTGTTGCCAAGTCCAAGTACGCGTCTACGGAACTCCATAATTGATCCAGAAGGGCATACTTCGAATCTCCGAACTTCGTCCACAACAAAAAGGGCTTCCCAGCCATGATATCTCCGGCTTGACGGAGCTCCTCCTTCGCCGCTCTGATTTTAGAACGGGTTTCCTTGGCTGCTTCCATGGCTTTCTTCAGGTCGGCCGCTCTTGCTTGGTTTTCCTTTTCAAGCAACTCATATCGGTCGGCGGCATCTTTCAGCTCAACAACCATCTTGGCTATTTTATCTTCGCTCTTGTGATGAGCAGTCTATTTGGCTCTTAAGTCTTCGGCCGCCTTTAGGGCGGCCCGCATCACTTCTCCTGGCTTGTTCCTTGGCTCGGGCAAGTTCCGCCCGAAGGGTCTCCACGGCGGCAGCTCCATCTGCAGTCACAGCATATTATAGATACTAGCATCATGCTCCTCTTAATATCTGTTGACCACCCAAAAATACATACCCTGTGCCTCGTCAAGCCGCTTGTTCACAAGTGCAATGTCGACATCTACCATGTCAAGTTGCCAGCTCAGTGCAGCAAACTCAGCAGTCCGGCCAGCCACCGGACCGTCAGCCGCCTGCACATAAAAGCAGCGCGATCATTACCTGGGACTATGATCCACTATTTGCCGCCTCTGGACAGCAACCAGAGTCTTAGGGGCTACTACCTATATAGAGCACACCTAGCGTATGCGGTACCATCAAAAAATTTATATATTATTTTGCGTACCTCAAAGCCTCTCAGCGGGCTCGTAAAAGTTTCATGCAACCCACTTTTGACGGATGAAATCCTCTCAACCACCGTACCAATTAAAGTATGATGCTCCTCTGAGATAGCCGCTTTCTCCAAAAGACCCATCAGTATGTCCGGTTGTGCACCGGACAATCCCAGACTTTTTCTGTTGCTCTCCTTAGAAGCCGAATACTCCGGACTTCGGGTGGCCGAAGGGTTGCCTTCTGGCCTTGGCGGGTCAGGAGAAATCCTCCGTGATGACACCTCAGGGTCATCCGCCCCAGGAGGCGAGGAGATAGGGGGAGGCGTTTCACTCTCCATCATCTCCGGAAGAAGATCCCCCGAAGACAAACTCTGTCCAGAAGGGCTACGATCCGGACGGCAAGACATATGTCTCGGTTACTGTCCTCGGAGATAAAGCAGAATATATTTACCAAAAGTACTCTTGTTCACTTACAGCTCGATGGAGGGCTGACCCCCTTGCGGGCACTGTGCGGTAAGGACGCCCTCTGGGGAGGGCCCCTTGGCGAAGGTTTCTTCCCTCGTTTGGAAACTCTCGTTTCCAAGTCTTCGGAGATGGTCCTTTTCCTTCCTTGGGGAGAGGGGATTCTAGATTCTTCTTCCCGATTATCCTCCTTCGCGGAGACACTGATTCCCCCGGTTTGGATGAGTGATGTGTGAGGCCCGCTATCGGCTTCTTTATCCCCCCTTTATCTTCCCCTGATGGCACTTGATAAAGTGCGTGCTCGAGCATCCTGGCTAGTACAGGATCTGGTGAACCTTCGGGAAGGGGGGCCGAACACCTGATCATCTTCGCCTTTCTTATCCAGTCCTGGCCAAGACCGATTTTTTCAGAATGATGTTGTGACAAATAAAAAGACAGCATGTTTGGCCGTGGAATTACTTACCTGGGTATCTGAACGGTTGCAGTTGAGACCCGCATCCTCGGTGGTGTCCGGACACTTTATTCGTGATCCGAAGAACAATCCATACATCTCTTCGAGCGTCACGCCGAAGAACTGTTGAATAGTTCGCGGTCCTTCCGGGTTGAACTCCCACATACGGAGAGATCGACGTTGGCATGGCAAGACCCGACGAACTAGCATAACTTGCATTACCTTGACAAGACTGACATCCCTCTTGAGGAGATCTCAGATGCGACTTTGCAATGTCGGCACGTCATTAACTGCCCCCAGTCCAGCCCCT